CAAGAAAAGTAGATGGAGGAATCAAAGAAATGGATTGCCTCAGGGCAGCGTCTTAGCCCGAGCTCTTTATAACATTTACACTAAAACGACCAACCGTTGCCAAACGCTACACGTCAGTATATATATGCCGATGATACGGCGGTGGCGGCACAAGGTAGGACACAAGGTAGGAGGTTTTAAAGAAGTGGAACAGAAGCTGACTATGACTCTAAATGAACTTTCCCAGTACTATGACGCAAATCACCTCAAGCCGAACCCTGCTAAGACCCAAGTTTGTGCCTAGCAGGCCGTGAGTTGAATGTGAGGTGGCGGGGAGACCGTCTTCAGCATTGTCCTACACCCAAATATCTTGGTGTCATACTGGACCACACACTGACATTTAAGGCGCATTGTATTGCGACAAGAGGTAAAGTCTCAGCGAGGAATAATCATCAGGAAGCTCACCAGCAGATGCTGGGGTGCTAACCCTAATGTCCTCAGAACCTCAGCTTTAGCGCTCAGTGTGTCGGCTGCGGAGTACGCTGCCCCAGTATGGAATGCATCGTCACACGCAAAAAAGGTTGACATTGCAGTCAATGACATGGCTCGGATTTTAACTGGGTGTTTGAAACCAACCCCAGTATACAAACTCTATCCTATCATAGGGATCGCCCCTCCATCAATCTGACGTGATGTCGCTGCCGACGCAGAAAGGACTAAGCAAGAGACAGACCCTCGTCACCCATTACACGGCCACCAACCTGCAGAGCGACGGCTTCGGTCCAGAAAGAGCTTTTTAATTATCACGGACACGAGTCCTGGATGGATCACTCTCAAGCAATCGGGTGGCAAGGTGGGAGGCCACGTTGACTAACCCTCCCATACCAGCCAGGGAGGAACTGGTTCCTGGTGGAGGCCTTCATTACACGGTGTGGAAGACCCTAAATTGAATTAGGGTCGAGGTACCAAAATGCAAGACAAACATGCAGAAATGGGGTCTCTTACCAGACGAAGAAAATATCTTGTGCGCGTGTGGTGCTGTTCAGGATCCTGGCCATCAGCTGATCTGCCCACGCCTAGACCAGTCTTGCACATTAGATGATCTTTTACATGCGAATGACAAAGCCATATCGGTAGCTAATTTTTGGAAAAGCGAAGTCTGATTTCCCGGACACGGAAAGTAAGTAAGAGGCCAAAAACACCGTATGCTTTATTCTATACGATGTCGGGACTCACTCTCATTCTTAGAGGAGTATTCTGTATATCTTGAGTAATTTTTATCCGGAATTGAATGGAATGGCTAGTTTGCTTACTGATATCCATGGTGATGGTTTTCTGTGTCAAACGCGTCGTCAGTTGTATTTCACTGTCAGACGCTGGCATCCTCAGTGGCTAGGCCGAGACTGAGGATGCTACCTATATACCGGGGGTGATCATGGCAGGGGGAGACCTTTCCGGGTTGTACATTTTGAAAACGATCGGGGGTAACGTATCCGGTAAACATCAATTGCAATTAGAAAATCTGGTAATTGTATATGATAAGTGAATATAATTATCTATTTAATACGCAAACTCAAACTGAAATTGAGTGTCCGCGGCCGGAAACATCACCCCCCGGTATCTGACGTCAATATGACGTAGGGGGGTGATGTTTCCGGGGGAGACCTTTCCGCGTCCCCGTAAGGGTGGGTGTAACGCATGGCAGCTAGTGAAATACAACTGACGACGCGGTTGACGCCGAACACCATCACCAGGGATTTCATTTCAATGACAACGGTCGCGAAAGCCTGCACATTAAGATAGTTTGCTTACTGTTTGTTCTTTAAAGCTGATTAACAACAAGCCATTTGAATTTGACTTTAGGTATTGCCACTCATCACATGTTTTCCCTTTTTATGTGTTTCTGTTGTATTTAACTCCGTGATAACGCACACATGCATTGTAATTTAATTCTTATAACAATTTTAATTTTATAATCTTGTGTGAGACACACTGATTATGTGACAAATGTGATAAAGGAAATACTATATTCAAATAGAATGTACATAAAAATAAGAAACAATATTATACGTTATTATTACGATACATGAATATCTTAATACATGTATAGAAATTTGATTTTAGTTATATAGATGTATGACAATTGTGGAGTGTTTGAGTAAATTAATGAAAAATTAAGAGAGAAAAAATAAAAGTCATGTTTACAAGAAGAACAGAAAGGAATAATGTTTATTTATATAATACAATGGATTATCTTTAAATCATCAGCTGTTTTAGTAATTTGAAAATTCTAAACAGGCTAAAGAAATCTTTTAGATAAAGAACTGAACAGACAATCTGTTTTAACTGTATTAATCATATGACAATGCCCATTTCATCTACATGATCAACGGCAAATAAATCATTTAATTTCATTTTAATATGAATACACAAATAAATACAGGCTTTGATGCTTCAGATTTTACTGTTGGATAGTATCCAACTACTATATTATCCATACTATTATATAAAAATCTAATGGTGTCTGTCTGTATGTGTATTACTAATCTATACTTCTATACTATTATATAAAAATCTAATGGTGTCTGTCTGTATGTGTATTACTAATAGGTGCAAAAACTACTGAACCAACTGGGCTTAAACTTTACAAAAATATAGCTATCATACCAAGAACCATTATAGGACTATTCACATTTCGAGTTCTGAGGTGAACATTTTAAAAGTAAATATTGATTGGTCTCCATGGCTGCGATGATAACTCTAACAATGTTTGTTTACATTTGCTTTGACATTTTAATGTAAACAAAAAGAACTGCTAAACTGCATATTTCACAATTTCAGACAGCTGATTCAAAGAAATTAAATATAATATTTTCCATAACTAATGAGGTAGGCTTATTTTAATCTAACCTTTTATCATGGATTATTTATTCTAAAACAATGTCAATCATTATAGAAAAAAATATTCTATAACCGTTGCTGTATCAACTCTAGCTCTGCTTTGGATTTTTTAAAGCGTCTAAGTTATGAAAATAATGTTATTGATATGTTTTTATGGAAACAGTATGAAAATTACAATGTATGGATGTTTTGGAGGCTACTTTAAACAAATTCTAACTGCTTGTGTTTGATTAACTTAACATAACTTGCACATCACATTGTTTTTTATATGTATATTTAGGTACATTAACCCAGACAGCACACTTTCTCCTCAGGACATCCCACGGATATTGCGACAGGATATGCAAGATATCCCATAGTGGTCCTATGGTCAACTTGGGATATCACAGGATATCCACAGGAATGCGTAATGTCCCCGCCCGGGGATGTCCTACGGATAAGCTCACACGCATATCCGTGGGACATCCGAGGTCATCCCAGGGTAGTCCTCAGGACATTCTCAGGACATATGGGACTACTATTGGATGTCCCTGGGATAAAGTGTGGTCTGGGCCTGAACATAAAAAACACAAAATAATATAGATTTAGTATGAAAAGCTTAATTATAAGTTTAGTAAATTGATTAAATGGTTAATAAACACAAATTTTGAAGAAAAAAACGAGAAAAAAGTTTTTGGCCCAGACGGGTTTCGAACCTGGTACCTTCGCCTACGAAAAACGTGCTTCAAAATTTACAATGGGATGAGAAGTCTACTTGTGTTGGTTAGTCCATGGTGGTATCCACAAGTAGACTTCTCATCCCATTGTAAATTTTGAAGCACGTTTTTCGTGTCTAGTTCATGTACGTGACACAAAGGCGCTAGTGTCGACGAAACTTTGTTTCCATTATTTTAGGGTTAATTTCTTGATTTGTGCTTTACTGTTTGGTTATATAACTAGGGGACAAGTTATTGTTTATGATTAGATCGTATTATTTGGCTAAACGAGGTTTTAAATGGCTGTAATAACGGGAAACAAATTGTAAACAAAACACGACCTCTACATAAACCGTACAGAACTAACAATAAAATTGTCTTCAGCTGTTCCATAAGGATGAGAAATCTACTGGAGTATGTTTTATCGGTACTTTCCTGTTAAAGGGAACATTCATTATTATCGATGATTTTTTCTCGATATATCGATGTTTTTGTTTTCCGATCGATTACAAATTGACAACAACTAACTGATCTTGTTTAGACTAAAATAGTCTATTATATGGATTAAGAAATGAAACTGTTCTAAGCTAACCTAACATAACCAACCAAACTTGCTGTACCATTTAAAAATTACGTTTGGGTTTGAATATAAAAGGCAAGTTATAAACACGGAATTTTTAAATGTTACGGCAAGTTTGGTTAGTTATGTTAGGTTATTTTATTTAACAGTTTCATTTCATTATTGTTTGTTAATTCTGAACAATATTTTTCGTAGTTGTCAGCTGATATGTTTCAATTTGTTAATATCGATATATCGAGAAAAAAATCATCGATAATAATGAATGTTCCCTTTAACAGGAAAGTACCGTTTTATCTATGCCACTACTTACCAGATTTAAAAGTCATAACTTAAACGTTTCTATTAAGGCTAGGCTATAAAAGTTGAATTTTGTTTCTAAAAGGGTTGGCAGATGTGTAACTATTATCATCTATTATGCAACAGATATAAAGATTAAAATGTTTCTATTTTGTGTCCTCTTCCCGTAGCAAAGCACGGGTACAACAGCTAGTTAACTACTAAATTACTATAATATTATAGTAATTAATTGAAAACACTCCTCCCTCTATTTTACTATTTTATAGCCAATGATAGTCTTTTAGCACTTTTCAACGCCATGAAAAGTCAGAGGATCGGCATGCTAGAAATTAATTAAGCAAAAATGTGAATTCAAAGGGGCAAACATGATGATCCTAAGAAAGATAACTTTGCACATGTTATTATAATGTTTCTAGTTTATATGTCTATACACGTATAACATTGCACTGCTTTGCTTTTCTCAATTTGTTGGTCGATGCACACAGCATCCGTTTAATCTATCCCAATCAAAAAGGCTGTGCCGTGCCGCCAAGGTACAGTATCTCGCACTCGCAGCGGACGACGTTTAGTTTGTATGTAATGCTAAGGAGGGAGTTTCATTACTTTTTTTGTGAAGCCTTCCTGCTGTACGTGTCGTGCTTTGTTCATAGAATTTATATCACGACAGATTCTTTTGGTGTAAACTAAACTGTGACATGCTTTTGTAATGCATTGCCCTACTATGTGTTAAACATTGGAGAACTGAAAACGCCATCTTCCCCGCTCCACCACACCCCGTCGTCTACATTGAAGTAAACATCTTTCATGGGAGAGGGTCGATATCGGCCCGGGGGACGGGAAATCAAGCAAACTGGAACTCATGGAATTAGAGAATATTGTTGCGAACACCGTATATTTAAAAGCTCGAGAAGGTTGGTGTATACTAAGCTGAATAAAATAACTGACTAAGATCTAATATTGATTTCCACAATCCAAATAGGACTAATTATCATAGGCCCAACTTGGGCCTTGTGTTTAGGCTTGGCCATTTTTTTACTTGTAAAGAAACGCGATTTAGTTAATTTGGTAGAACGTGTTTTGACCCATAACGTTGTTAATCAGTTTACCCTTATGTACTTAACAACATTAGGCTAGCCTATCTCAATTCATGTTGGCCTGAGCCTATAACCTTTAAGTTAAGATTAGTGACTTACAGTGCTGCCACCTAGGCTAACTTATCTTTTCCTAATCTAAAGGTAGCCTAGAGTCATTTTCAAATAGGCCTAAAATAAAAAATGAAATTTAAGTGTAGGCCTATATAAAAAACAACAAGGATTAACTTCCTACCTCTTAGTGCACTACCTGGGATCAACTTGGATCACTCAAAATGTAAGTTCTTCCAAATTGTTATGCCGAAGCGGGGTTTAAGTTAAATTTGAAATTTTTGATGAGCCAATTCTTTAAAGCAATTTTGAATTTAGCGCCTTCCATTTCCTTTAGGGCCTTTATTATTAAGTTATGGGATGGTAGGTGGTTGAAATAAATTGACCCCACCACAAAAAGGACTTCGACCAGTTCTATTGAAGTTCCTCCTCACACGGTGAGGACATACATAGCGCGCGCAGCGACAGCAGACAAAGATGTGTTAAAACGGAGCAGACGAATGTTAGCGCAAGCGATGACGTCACCTTTCCATTTCATTTGATAAAGAAACAGATTTTTCAAAAACAATAATGGGGTGGGGGATTTGTTATAGTGAGGGAAAGACGTAGACAATTCGTTATGCAGAGGTTAAATTCGTAATGTAGAGGTTCTGACAATGCCAAATTCGCTAGGCCTATATTGAGGTGTCTTATTCTAGCCGAAATCACGAAAAATTTGTTAAATCAAGGTCGTTGTTATGGTTTGTTCGTTATGTAGAGGTAAAATATAGGCTACATTGTGTCTTATGGAGAGTTCTAGGGGATTTAAAAAAAATTCGTTATATCAAGGAATTCGTTGTATCGAGGTTCGTTATATCAAGGTTAGACTGTATATCTTTACAAGATCTTTCTGTACCATACATTGGCTATCAGTCTGATTGCTCTTTTCTGGAGAACAAAAATTGTACCTACCGTACCTAGGTAGGCCTACCTATGTAAATTACAGTCGGGAGAACTTTCCCAGAAAACAAGGCCATAAGACAAGAAAGGATATAACACCAAAATAAATTCTTTTTAACGTATCTAAATAAAAAGATCTTCTTCTCGAGCAAGAGGTTGATTCCACTTAAAAGTCTTGACCTTACATTAGATGATCCTTGGGTCAATCCATATCAAGTCATCCAGGGCATGACACCCATGTTCTCAGATTCTAATGATTTTTTTTTCATCTGTTCCTTTTGCTATTCTAATTATGAATACCAAATTTCATTTTGATATCTTGAATACTTTTTTAGTTATGAATTTTCAAAAATTGCTAAAAATAAGCGTTTTCCCGTTTCCGCCGATTATTGGGAGTACGAAATTGTTTTGGTAAAAAAATCATTACTCAGTCAGTATTTATCATATCACAATAAGACTTTTACTAAAATGTTCAGAAAATCTTGTAGAATTAAGGAAAAATATGTTTATGGGGGTGGTCATTTTATGTTCCAGTCAGTAATCCATCCAACTTCAATTTTGGTCTAATCTTTAGCAAAAAACACGAAATTTTGAAAAATTGATGAAAATTATAGGCACTATGTAAACCAAATGTATTTTATCATATTTATATTCCTAAGGACATATACTAACAGGTTCTTAAAGAAAAACACTGGGATTTTCACTGCCTTTTAGTTTGTACCTCAATAAACAGAAAAATATAATTTTCATAAAAAAGGCAGAGTGCGGACAGTTAAACCTGTACTAAGAATCAAAAGCTACTTCAGAAAGTGTTATTAAAAAAATTATCAAGACCCATTTATAATAAAGTAGAATTATAATTTTGAAAGGCAATAAAACTGAAGTTTAAAAGCACTGACCCAAATTGGTAGGCCAACAATGTCAAGCTTAGTACAAAAAAGACGCTTGAAAAAATATGTACAGTATTAAGAAAATATGAAAACTTCTTACCACTAATCCTTAATGAATACAATTTTTGGAGATACTCAATCTGCTTTTTACATGAAGCACTTAATTTTGTACTTGGTTTTTTGTCAACATGTTTTGGCACTGTTTTTAAATTAAATCCATTTCTTTTTTCGGGAAATAATACATTTAGTCAGGTTGGGTAGCAGGAAAATATTTCAGTTCTGGCAGAGAGGCTGCAATTTTAGGTGGTTATAGTATACAAGTTTCTGAATCTAAAACCGCCTAGACCTTATTATTATTTTAAATTAATTATTTTAAATATGAAGGTGGTGTTGTGACCCATCATTTTAAACTACTTTTTTATGCTGAATTCAATGCCGCAATATGTTTTTCATTGTCATATTTGGTTTTTGAAATATTGACATTTTAAATCAAAATAATTGTAATATTTTATCAAGAAAGCTTGATAACAAAAAACTTATAAAATAATTGATCACATTTCAAAATGGCGGATCCAAGATGGCGGCTGAAAAAAATACATCCGTCATAACCGAGTGAAAATAGGTCAACAATGAATGGTGGTGTCCACTTATCTTTATCTAGCACTATTTTTAGATTATGACCTTAGTTTGTAAATGCACAATGTTATAATGGACTAAAAATAAATTAATAAAAAGTTCTCGTTACTTTAGAATGGATCAACATTTTTTTAAACGAATTGCAGCATCGTATTCAGCGTTAAAGTCTTGTTTGAAACGGTGGGTCACAACCCTACCTTTACATTTGAAAAAATAACTTCGTATCCAATATGGCGGATCCAAGATGGCGGCCAAAAATTTAAACCCAGTCAAAATGAAGCACTTGCTACTCTACAATGATCTGACGTGGTTCGGAGTTGATATCTTAAGAAATGTATAAAAAAGTAGGGGGGGGGAACTCATTTAAAACTCACCTGTATAAAACAATTCACAATTATTTTCCTCATAATTTTTTTAGTTTTGAACAGCCGCCATTTTGAAATGACTTGATGAAACTTGACCATTTTCAACCCAGGCCGAGATAATGTATTCAAGCACTTGTGTGCCAAATTTCATGAAAATCGGTTAAGGCATTCGGTCGTTATAGCCAATTCATGGGGACCCAGCATCCTCTTACGGCCGCCATTTTGATGACGTCATTACGGACGACCGAGGTCCTTAAAAATTGGGGTCTGGGCGGTTTTAGGTTCAGAAACTTTTATACTATAACCACCTAAAATTGCAGCCTCTCTGCCAGAACTGAAATATTTTCCTGGTACCCAACCTGACTAAATGTATTATTTCCCGAAAAAAGAAATGGATTTAATTTAAAAACAGTGCCAAAACATGTTGACAAAAAACCAAGTACAAAATTAAGTGCTCCATGTAAAAAGCAGATTGAGTATCTCCAAAAATTGTATTCATTAAGGATTAGTGGTAAGAAGTTTTCATAAAATACTTGATGAATAAAGATGATTTGTATTGTATTGTATCATATTTTCTTAATACTGTACATATTTTTTCAAGCGTCTTTTTTGTACTAAGCTTGACATTGTAGGCCTACCAATTTGGGTCAGTGCTTTTAAACTTCAGTTTTATTGCCTTTCAAAATTATAATTCTACTTTATTATAAATGGGTCTTGATAATTTTTTTAATAACACTTTCTGAAGTAGCTTTTGATTCTTAGTACAGGTTTAACTGTCCGCACTCTGCCTTTTTTATGAAAATTATATTTTTCTGTTTATTGAGGTACAGACTAAAAGGCAGTGAAAATCCCAGTGTTTTTCTTTAAGAACCTGTTAGTATATGTCCTTAGGGACATAAATATGATAAAACACCTTTGGTTTACATAGTGCCTATAATTTTCACAAATTTTTTAAAATTTCGTGTTTTTTGCTAAAGATTAGACCAAAATTGAAGTTGGATGGATTACTGACTGGAACATAAAATGACCACCCCCATAAACATATTTTTCCTTAATTCTACAAGATTTTCTGAACATTTTAGTGAAAGTCCCATTGTGATATGATAAATACTGACTGAGTAATGATTTTTTTACCAAAACAATTTCGTACTCCCAATAATCGGCGGAAACGGGGAAAACGCTTATTTTTAGCAATTTTTGAAAATTCATAACTAAAAAAGTATTCAAGATATCAAAATGAAATTTGGTATTCATAATTAGAATAGCAAAAGGAACACATGAAAAAAAAATCATTAGAATCTGAGAACATGGGTGTCATTTTCTTTTTTTGCTGGATGATTTGAAATGGATTGACCCCCTTAAAAGTTAAGGTCTGATCTATATATAGTCCTAAAAACTTACAGCACTCTTTACTTTCAAAGGTCACATCATCCTTAACTAAATCTATCACCTTTAATCCATCACCTAAATCTAATACCTTAAAGCAGGCACTCATAATAATATTGCCTGGAACTCATGCAGAGGGCATTGTCCATAGTGGAGAGGTGGTGTAACCAGGAAGGTCTATCTCTAGAGTACCAACTCTCTTCGGTAATCAGATCCAGGTTAAGAGGGAGTTCAAGTAGGCTACCTAGTAATAAGGCTGGACAACAAGCTCACCTGGAACAGCCATTTGGCACATATAACGCAACGCTCTCAGACCACACTTATGATGATGAGACGGGATGTTGGGAAGACCTGGGGTCTAAGCCCACAAATGACTAACTGGCTATACACTAGGGTTGCAAGACCGATGATGGTGTATGGCTCGGTGGTCTAGTGGACCAAGGCAGGGGTGCTCACAGGGGGGGGGGCTGTGACGCAGACTGTGTCATTGAAATTCTTGGGGGGGGGGGGGGGGTTGCAAAAAATTCAAATGGGGGGGCTAAAGTTAATTGCA